AAAAGTGTTTTATGGGCCAGGGATTTAGCTCAATGGTTCCGCCAACTGCCTCAAGCACAAGGACCAGAGTTTGATCCCTGGTACCCCCAAAGTGTGTGGGGGGTTTATAAGTTGATAAATAAATATTTTGGGCCGGGGATTTAGCTCAGGGGTTCTGCCACTTGCTTCACAAGTTTGATCCCCGGTACCACAAAAAGAAAACAAAAAGCTTTAACAATGTACTTCCTTGCCAGTATGCTGGATGTTTTTCATGTCCATTCTTCTGTTTCTCTTCATAAAAATGTGTCCTTTTCATGTCAGGGCTGACAACCTCTCCTGTCCGCCCCCTTCCCTGCTGGGTTTCATCTTCTGTTTCACCCACCTCAATTTTTTTTTTCAAAATTTATTGAATGAGTTTCTTCCAGCCTTATGTGCAAAGGTTTGGTGTTGTCTTTATAAAATCAGTTTGTTTTCTTTAATATTGAAGACAATAAACATTTGCAGTATTTGTAGCCTTTTGTTTGTTTTTGTTTTTTCTCCCTGTGTAGTTCAGGCTGGCCTTGAATTCACTATGTAGCCCAGGCTGGCCTCGAACTCAGGGCAGTCCTGCCTCAGCCTCGGGAATGTTGGGATTACAGGTGTGCATCACCACGCCCGGCTTGTAGATGGTTTTAAAATATTATGTTTTTGGACAAGCAGTTTAATGTTTTTATGTCATTAAATCTTCCACTGTAATTTTTTTCTAGTTCACCATTACAAGGTGGGCCAGGAGACCTGTGCTGCCCATGCGCGGGAGTGGCACACGGGGTTCCAGGCGCTCAGCTATTGCTCCACCTGCAGGCACAGAGAGCGGCCCTGCCGCACCGGTGGCGCTGTGCCACACACAGGGGCGTGGCCGGCTGCAGGGTCCTGGCTGCTTGAAGCGCCTAGAGGGAGGAGAGGTATGAGAGGTATGGAAGGGACTCCGCGCGGCCCCTCCCTCTACCTGCCCTGGTCCTGCAGGCGCTGCAGGGGTGCCGAGAGGAGCGTTCCCAACCGGAACGTGTAAGTTTGTTTTGGGGGTTTTGTATTTTTTTGTTGGTGGTGGTGGTTTTTGGTTTTTTGGGGGGTTTTTTTGTTGTTTTTTGAGACAGGGTCTCACTATGTAGTTGAGACTGACCTGGAACTCGCTATGTAGCCCAGGCTGGTCTCGAACTCACAGCGATCCTCCTGCCTCAGCCTCCCGGGTGCTGGGATCATAGGCGTGCGACTTTGTTGCTGTAAGGTAGAGGACTGGTTTATTTACAAAAACGATGTTGTGAATGATTCAGGGTACGTTCTGTAGACCAGGAATCAGTCGTACAGTTCTCTCTTAATCTGCTTTACCACTTATAACAAACATGGGCTTATGTTTAAATTGCTTTAAATTGCCTTTAGGCACATTGAGTAGTAAATGTTCGGTACATTTAAACGTAATAAAGCAACCCCCCAGAGGGAGGCGATCCACTCTTCAGAAATTCTTAGTCACTTTTCATTTATGCTTTATTTCAACATTTTGTGCTGATTTTCTTACTTGTGACTAATATGTAAAAAATTAATTTTTGTATATGTGCTTATTATGTTTTTCTTGCTCTGTATTTTAAATTTTAACTAGAGTATTTTCCTCTCATGTTAAATCTGTAGGGGTCAAATTTCAAAGAACATTGCTTAAAAATCTCCAGTATTTGTTTTTAAAGTATTTTCCAATATGGACTAAACCTTTTTGAGTTCATTTTTGTTATCGCTACAAATTCTGATAAGATATAAAGCAAATAAATGAAAATATAATAGGAAGCTGGGTTCCAGAAGTGGAAATATCAAGGGCTGAAGTCAAATCTATCTGTAGCCACATTTTTCCTGAAGCGCCTGCCACGTGTGACTAGGATTGCAGAACTGACCCTTTTATTCGCTGCATGTTAAGCTTGTGCCTTCCTTGTAGCAGCCCTTGATAAACATCTGAGCACTGGATTGCCCTGAACCTTAGGGAGTGAGGCCTTTCCAGGCAAGGGTCCTGGGACCCTTCCCAGATTGCCTTGCTGTGGCCTCCCTCTGTCCAGCTAAGAATGGCAAAGGCAGTGCCACTCCCTCCTCTTTTTGCTTTGGTCAAACATAATGCTCATGAGGGAACATTTGTATCAGATCATTTGCATTTTGCTTTATCAACAGGCTGCAAACTGCTGTTTTCTCCCTGTGATTCCTGAGCTGGGTTTGGCAACAGGTTGCTTTTGGGGGCGTGTGTGTGTGTGTGTGTGTGTGTGTGTGTGTGTGTGTGCGCGCGTGTTCATAAAGAAACAGTAAAATACTGGATTAGCTTTTCTAGTTCTGGACTTCTGCCAAAAGTTCATTGCTCCCAACCCTCCCAGGTTTCTAAAATTCACTAACTTGATTTAGGCTTAGAGGAAATGTTTCTGCCTTAAGCGGGTACAGTAATGGGCTGCATGTGGATTTCTTCATGGAACAGTCATTGTCCTCTTTGCATTTTAAAGGAAGCCCCAGGTCTCTATGTAAATTTCACCTCAGAAAACCCAGAGTAAGAATACTTATTAGCGTTTGCTTACCTTTAGGGAAACGCTTACCTTTAGGGAAGGGGAAGGAATGGCACTCCCCTTCCTTCTGCCTGGGCTTGAATAATAGCTGACTCTATCTTTGGGAAATTGCGTGTATCTAGTAAAAAATAAGAAAGAACTCGTGCAACAAGGAAGTCATGTTTCTTTTACTTTCTTGGCCTACCTTTTGTGCATTTTACTCTAAGGGTCGGATGCACTTCTACAGACATAATTACTATCTTTACAAATGGACAGCTCTTACTGTCACGAGTATGAAACCAGTCTCATCAGCTTTACATTCCGGACAGTGGGAGATTTCTGTGAGTTGCAATGCACCCCAGCCGCATCTGATTCCAGCGCCGGGTGTGACAGCGGGCTGTTTTTCATTTGTTTGTTTTTTGTAAAGTATTAATGAGCTATAAAGAAGGAAGCATTTTACTGGTGCACTCTCACTCATTTTCAGTGGAATACTAGAAAGACGTTCTTATGTAGCTTCTTATACTTGATGTCAAAAGCTTATCATTTTGAGAAGTTGGAAGCCATGGGCTGCTAATGCGTGAGGGTTTTGTGTGGTTTGGGGATTTTTTAATGAAAACTGAGTGCATCTCTTAAGCATGTTTTACACTTGCCTTCCCTCTCGTTCTACCTTTCCCTGCTGCCTTTCTCGGTAGCACACTCTGCCCACTCCTGTGCTCTTCTTTAACTCCTTCATGGATATCAGTGGCAGACCCTCCCTGTCCTCTCCTGCCTCGCCCTGGAAGTACAGAGAGATGCCCAAAGGCCAGAGCGAGGCTCCCAGTGGTCAGTAATGTCACCAGCTCACTGAGGGCACAAGTGGAGAGAGCACCGGGGGGCCCAGGGCCCACCTGTCCCTACAGCTGTCAAGCTGGCCAGTGCTGGAGCCACCGAGAGAAGCAGCCCACTGGCTGGAATCGGACAGGTTTCTCACTAGGAGCCCTGGCACTGCACCATGAGTCCACAGGCCAAGGGGCCATGTACTTGCTCCAGGGTTCAGTTCCATCTCTCCAGAATAGAGTTCCTCATAGGACTGTGCCTACATGGCGTTTTAAGGATGATTATTTCCATTATTGTTATGTAATTGCTTAAAAGTCAGTCATAAGAAGCTCTCATGCTTTGCAAGCTGGTCTAGTTCTCAACCTGAAGAAAATTCTGTCTTCCTAAGATAGGCTGTGTATTAAAACAGAGACTCGATTTTCCACATCCTCCAGGAAGAAAGCTTTGTCAAGCTCTAGCTTAGAGGAAGACCTGGATAAGGATATGTTGGGATGGCACAGTGTCAAAAATGACAACCAGATTGTGGAGATTTCACTCTTAGGAATAGCATCATTTTGTACCTAAGGGTTAGGTGAGGTAATCTCTTAATCATTGCTTATGGGTTACACAAAACCCCTGAAGCTTTCTGAGCCGATTTCTCCATGGCAGAATTGCTCCTGTTCACTGGGGCCCTACTAAGGTGCCAGGGAGTGCACTAAATGCTTTTATAAATACTCCCCTACATAGTTCCCCAGCCTTATAAAATAGGTATTACTTCAAAGAAAAGGAGGCACATGAAGGAAAAGGTATGCATTTGGTTAAGAGACATCTGGGAATCCAATGTACAGCTAAGTTGTTCATGCAATGGCTAGAAATAAAGTAGTGGCTACGTCAGTAAGTGGCCAGAAGAAATTTCTGTAATGTCTGTTACTATGCCTGAGAGTTTTTAGCATTTTTCAGTGATTAGGTATTAGATCAATTTTAATAATTCAATACGTTTCCTCCTATGAATGCTCTTTGCAACATTTGCACCCAGTCTAAATAATTTAACTTCACCTATAAATTGGGGACAAGGGACTTCAACAAAAATGGCAAGATTTTAAAATTAATCTGATAAATTGACTTCAGTCCTAGAACCAGTAGTGTTGTTGAGCTGTGTCACCACATAGACCAAAGTTTGAATCCCGGTTCTAAGACTTGGGAACTGGGAGAATTTGGAGAATTCATTTTACTTTTTCTGTTCCTCTGTCAGTAAACTGTGACAATATTAACTAAAATTCTTTGCAGCGGAAGCACAGTGTAGTAGGTTGGCCATAGATGGTCAATAATCAATCATGCAGTGTTGAGGGCTTCCAGTCTCTTTTGAATGTGATGGTTTATAAAGAAGAAAAACTGTAAAGTCCCGTCACTTACCTTATGATTCAAGTAACAAAGGTTTCCTGTCATTTATGTATTCAGCAAGTGTTTACTGAGTGCTTACCCTGTGCCAGGTGCTGTTCTGAGTGCCAGGGAAGTGACAGTAAACAGACTGGACAGGGTCTCCACTTTGAAAGCAGGTATCACAGTGACACATAATGTGACATGACACTCGTTTGTTTATAGGCTTTATCTTAAATCAGCTTTAGGTTCACAGCAAAACTTTGCGGAAAGTACAGGGTATTCCCAGACAGCTCCTCTCTCTTCTTTGCCTGGCTTATAGGAGGTATTTGAATACCTCTCAGAATGGGCAGTTAAAAGCCCCCTAGAGAGCAGGAGAATCTGCAGAGAGCCATAGAGTGCTGGAGAAGTCATCCAAGGAGAGCAGAATCACGTGTGTCCTGTCAGTGTAGAAAATAGATACACCAAGAGACTTAACAATTTACTAAGACTACGCAGTCAGTATGTAGTTGAGCCAAGCTTTGAACACAGGAAATCTGGCTCCTGATTGCTTGCTCTCACCACTAATAAAATCCAGACTATACGAGAGAAAAAGAGATACTCAAAGACAAGTCCAGCTATGGTATTTTTCATTTTTTGTTTTATACATAGGCTTCAGCACAACTGATCCTAGTCTTTATATTCGATGTTGTATCTTACTTTCTTTCAAACTGAACCTTATAATATTTTTTCCACGTTGTTTAATATTCCTTACAGAAGTTTTTGTAGGTGGGTCTGGCACTCAGGAGGTTGAGGTAGGAGGATCGCCATGAGTTCAAGACCAGCCTGGGCTATGCAATGAGCTTAAGGCAGCCGAAACTACATAACTACATAGTCAAGACCCTGTCTCAGAAAAACAAGAAAACGTTGTTACTCTTTACTGATGCTCCCGTAGGGTAAGTGTACCACCCTTTGTGTAGCACTCTCTCGTGGTTGGCCATTATTCCTTCCAACTTTCTGATCTGGTCACAGGTACAACGGTAACTATCTCCATGCATAATTTCTTATGTTCTTCAGAAGGCACTTTCAGGGTACCATCTCAGAAGTAACCTGTGAAGCCCAAGGACATGAACACATTCAGGTGAACTTCTAGATAAAGGTGGCTGTTTGCTGAAGAATTTGAATGTATCAGTGTCTACAACACTACACGGAAATAGCTTCTTTTTCAGTTTATTAGCACACGTGTAGTATATAATACTTAGAGTCCTTGTGGGAAGCTGGTGCATTGTACATAACACATGCTAGTCCTTTTTCATCCTGTTCCCCATTTTCACTTTCAAAACAAGTATGAGCAGACTTGTCTTTCCCCGATACTCTTATGGTACATGCCTCACAATTGGCCAACGAGAACACTCCACATTCACAGGAGGGATTGATCAGGGATGAGTGTGTGACCCAACTGGAGACTTGCAGAGGCACTAGTGGGAAAAGCAGGGCGTATCCACCTGCATGTCAGGCATTTTCACCTGCATGTCACCAACTTTGAAATCTTACAAGGAAGCAAACCCAAAGGTAGTGTCGAGAAACAGACTGTGGTTCAATCCCCCGTACCAAAACAAACAAACAAAAAAACAGATTCAGAGTCATCTGACAGCATTGTCTGATGACCACTCAGGCCAGCCTTTCTCCAAGACTTTTTAGTTATATGAGTCAACAGATTCCCTGCTTTGATGCACTTGAATTGTTATTTTCTGTCATTCATGTCCAAATCATTCATCACTGTACCCTCAAGTTACAACCTGCCTAACATATGAACAACTTGAGTTAATTATGTTAATGGAAGACTTATCTGCCTCTTATTATCTATAGCATGTACCTAGGTAAACTACAGATCTCAGCTGTATTGACTTACAACCAATTTGAGTTACAACCAGCCATCAGGAACTGATCGAGTTTATAAGTCAAGGGTCCACTATATAATGAAGCTCCCTCCTTCATGCTAGCCCCCTCTCATCAGTTTGGCCTCTGTAGAAGATATGTACTTCAAAATGTTGGAAAGGCTGAACAAAATTTTGAATAAAGATCACCTGAAGCTGAACACGTCACCAGCCAAGAATCCCTGCAGAGGAAATTACCCTCTTCTGACCTTGCCAGCACAAGGCCTTCCCACAGGTCATCACTGGTTGGTAAGCTTGCATCATCGTCATCAGATGAGACTGCTTTTGTGGCCACCTCATTTCAGATACATTACTTCCACGCTCTGAGTGTAAATTCTGTCTCTCCAACTTACCAAATAATCCTCTCAGTGGGAACAAATATGTTGCCCCTGGACATAACTTTGTGTGACTCCCAGCCAGGCACTGATCCTCTCTGAGCCTCCACATCAGTTTTGTTTAGTTTCCTCCTCAGACCATGAGTCCATGGGGAACACCCCAGAATGGCAGTTATATCCTCCACTTCCCAGAATTGGCATTCTCGCCGCTGGGGGTCGCAATTACGCTGTGTAAACTGTCAAATTTGCCATGGGGAGGGGGCGGATTGAGTATATTAGTAAGAGCAGAGTCAACCTTGTAGCTGTAGTACTTAGTGTCTTAATGAGCCTGGCCACCTCCTCAGAAGGTGAATATTGCTTTTTTGTCTTGTGTGAGGTGAGGGCAGAGTGTGGTGGAGCCCAGGCGAGACCCACTGTGCTTAATTTCTCCTTCCCGGGAAAGCTGAATACCTTCAGTGATGTCAGATGCTTCTAAGGGCTGCTTTCACTTTTCCTTTCACGATGCCTCTGCACCACCTTTACCTCTGCACCACATTCTCTCTTTCTCATGGTCTTGATATAGGAAATAATACCTGAGATGAAATATGAAATTTTGTATCTCCTCAAGCTGTTAGCTGTATGATACGCCCAGCTCTTGTTCTCTCAAAATCGAAGAATGAGTTCTAGGAACAATGGAGGCTGAGAGTAGGAAGATATTTAATGTTAGGAAAGCTCCTGAGGGCAGGAGGGCTCCCGAGTGAGTAGCTGGGGACCCTGCTCTATGAGGGAGTTTTGTAGGGTAAAAACCATGTGGGTACAATGTGGGCCACAGCCGTGGTCATCCATCCAGTACGGTTACAAATGTAGTCAGTTAGGTGATAGTGGTACAACTGGGAAACAAGTCATGTAACAGGATGGATGGAAAGAACAAGGATTCTCCTAGGAAGTGGGGGGGTCCAGAGGTCTCTAGTCACCCCCCACCCGGGTGTCGATGTCTCTCTAGAATTCATTAGGCCCAGTGTTTGTTATTTGAGGAAGTAGGCAGGTCTGGTCATCTTGTCTTCACCTCGTGGCCTCAATCAATATGTTTCCAGCCAGTAGGTCTCTGGCCGCAACTGTGGTGTTTCACCTGTGTCTGGGTGTCTTGAGGACCTAACCCTAACCCTAACCCTAACCCTAACCAGCCCTCCTCACAAAAATGAGCCACTTTCTACAGACAAACATTCTCTACTTCATTCTGAAGTCCAGTTCCAGTCTCACAAACCAACATGACGTAAACTCATGAAGAAAAAAGATCAGGAAACTCTGCCAGCAAAGTCAACTTTCCCCTCAGAGTCCAAATATTCCAGGATCATTGTATACATAAAACCTTTTATACCACTGCAGTGGAAAAGATATTTCCAGTGATCCACCCATCTATTTTTTTTTTTTTTCATTTTTAGCTTTTAAATGTCTTAGGACTCTGGATCATGCTTTACACTCTGATTCTCACCCTGGACCCGAAACTGTGACAGACTTTTATTTCAGGAAAAGAAGCTCACTGATTAATAAGGTAAATTTATTTCCTCACATAGAATAAAGTTGGAAATCTGCCCTTCCCTCCCCAGACTCTGTCTCTAGACAACCTCACGTTTAAGCAGCAGTATACCTGGTATAACAAAAGTTATACCAGAAGGCCTTTATTTAATGTCCTTTCCAAGGCGATAAATGAGAAAGCACTTTAACAGAAATTGATTTAATTAAGTGACACCCTTGGACACTTTAAAGCTCTTTTCTCACATCACTCGCCATACTAATGTGAAGTCTGGGTTGATGAATAAGAAAGCACAATGGCACTTCCAAGGCACAAAAATATGTCTTACCCTATAATAAAAAAAGAAGACATTCAAGAGTAAGGTTTCTTTTCTCTTACTGCTTGTAGTATTTTGTTCTTCTGTTAGGTTTCTGGGATGCATAACATACTGCTATTATTGGTGTTTTTATATAAAAATAAACGTATTTATACATATATATAATTTGAATTTTTGGAAACTTTAACTGTGCTGTCAACTTATCCGAATTTACTGTGTTGAGTTGGCATTGTACAGAAATTGATCTAGAAATGTTTTTTTTTTCCATTTGTACAGGGGTAATGCACTGTGTTAAATATGTAAGGTCATATCTATGTGGGTTTGATTAGAGAAACTAATAAAGTATTGTCTAAATAATGAAAAAAAGAATAAGATAAGACTACAAGAGCAAGAAGCAATTTAAATATGTTCAGGGACCATTTTCATCTTCAGAATAAAGGATTATTTTAATCTTACATCATTGCCTTTTCTCTTTTACTTTCCTTTTTAGTTTTATGTTAGGATTCCCTATTTTTAATGTTCACACAGAGATTTCTTTAACTGAAATACCAAATAGTTTCTCTGGTGTGAAAAACTATAATAGCACACAGGACCCTAATGAGACAATTAATAATGTGAAATAGGAAGTAAAGGGCTAAAGGTGTAGGGAAAGTGGGAAGGGTGGGGAAAGGTAATAAGGGAGAGGAAAAAAATATGAGAAATTGAAAAAATGGAAATAAAGTGTTTGTAAATAAAAGGGGGGAGGGAAGGAGGGGGTGAAGGGAGGGCAGGGAGAAGGGGAAAAAATGAGAACCAAGACCTGTCATGTAAAGGTACAGGATCCCAATAATGAATGAAACTGTACTGTATACCTAGATCGTACCAATAAACTCAATAAAAAGAAAAAAAAGAGTAAGGTTTGAAATTCCCATTAGAAGTAGAATGTAGTCACGATCACAGGTTTGTCAGAGAAGGGCTGTATATGTGCCTGGCCCCAAAGATCATCACCCAGCCCCGGGGTTAGCCAACTACACCAGTGAGGCGGGGGCCCAGAGCCCTGTGACGCCCACACAGCTGCGCACTCCCAGAAGGTACGGCCTGGCCCTCCTGGACCTCACCTTCCCATGGTTCCGCTTCAGAATGGGTTCAAAGCCATTACAGGCTTTCTATTTCAGTTGTCCTGGAATTTGTCCATCCCTGTGAAAATTACTTGAAAATACATGAGCTCATGTATCTCTTTAGAGAGTTATGTATATTTTTTAATGAATTAGGTTGTATGCTTTTGGAATAGTGGAATTCATTTTTCATATTCAGTATAAAAAATATATTTTGATCAGTGCCACTCCTTTTGTTTAAACTTAACGTTTATTTGGCACCTGGAGAAGTGATTTCTGTTTTAAATTTTCTGACAGAAAAATCAATTATGTTTTTAATAATGTGTCGGTGATATTTCCAACTGATTTTCTAGAAGAAGCTGAAGTTCTTGTTGGTTCTCAAAAGCTATCGACAAGCACAGGTCCGATGAAGAACTGGATATAACAGTATCATATCCAAGTACTAGAGGCGGAAAACGGCAACCCTGTGTCTGGCTTCAACTACACCAACCCCATAAACAGCCTGACTGTTTATGATGAAATGGAATGGTCAATTTAATAGGGAAAGCCACTTGGCTGTGGCAATTAAAATAGTCCAATTATTTTATAGCATCATTTATATTTAAATTAGCCAAAGGTCCCAAAAATTTGATTGTAAAATTTTCCTTTTAGCAATGAATGACAAAATTTTCAATGTTGAATCTAAATTAAGTGATAAGTGAAAAAACACTGAACGGCAAACAGCTTCCAGGGATTGATAAACGATGTCTACAAACAGAAAGTGTGCTGCGGTGATTAGTGTTAGTCATAACCTGGCTGAGGCAGCACACAAATAGTTTATGTATTTTTATTCTAACAGAAAACACATGGACAGTCTGTGCTGTTGTTATATGAACTGGCATAATTGTGCATATCTTTTCTAAAACATAAATGCCAGGATCCACCTGCAAATTCGAGCAGGTGTAGGATCATCGGCAAATCTGTAGTTTTTTGCATCTCCCCTCATAGGGAAAGAAAGTGGGGAGGAAAAGCAGAAGCTGAGAACGTAGTCAAGGGCAAGTGAAGGTTCTAAGTACATAGTCAGCTTTTCTGGCTAGCATGTTACAACATTGCCCTTATCGTAATAACCTAAGAAAATCACTTCTATGGTTAATTTTGTCTTAATTCAATGCCAGAGCCCAATCCTTGTTTAGGAGGTCGCCAGAGACCAGACCAACAGGGATTAAAAACCCTTAATTTAGCAAAATGCCCATAGATAACTGAGTAAGGAAGTCAATTTGTATAATACTCTCAGGTAAACATAATAGATTTAAAGCTACAAATTCAAGCTGGGCTGTTCTTTAATGGTTAGAATAAGAAAAAACATCAAATTTACTTTGATGAGTTTAAAAAAATAAATTTGCACTTTATTATTCAGAGAAAAAACAACCAAAAAAAACAGAACTTACAAAACTTTCCATGGGGTCACCAAGCATGCTTTCTCAGGGCAAGCACCGAGCCCAGCTCAGAAGACAGGTGTGGGTGCTCCCCCCAGCTGTGCTCCTGGGTGGGGCCTGCGGGGCCTGAGGACGGGTGCCCTTGGGCCGGAAGACCAGAGGCCTCCCTCAGTGTCTCCTAAGGCTCTGAGAAATAGAAATGCACATATACTACAATAGAAGGAGTATAAACTGACACTAATTTTCTAAAGGAAATTCAGAACTAGGAATAAAATCCCATGCATGTCCCATAGCCTTTACTCCAACAAGTCCCATCTTTAGGGATTTGAGTTAGCTAATTAATTAATTGGCCTCACTATGTAGTTCAGGCTGGTCTTGAACTCACCGTGTAGTCCAGGCTGGCTACCTCACAGTGATCCTCCTACCTCAGCCTCCCAAGTGCTGGGATTACAGGCATGTACCACCATGCCCGCCTCCTAGGGATTATTTTAATATTGGTTGCGGTGGTGGGTTTTTTTTTAAATGTGTCTGCAGTCTTTTTAACACCCCTTCCAAAAGATGGAGCCTAACTCCCCTCCTGTTGAATATGGACCAGATTTAAGGAGGCCTTGCTTCTAACAGTCAATGTGAGAGAAGTGCTGTTCTATGAATTCTAGGTGAAATCATAAAAAAACAAAAAACTAAGCAAAACACCAACAAAATCGGTGGATTTGGCTTTGTCTCAGATCCAGATCACTCACTGGATCACGAGGGAAGCCAGCTGCCACATAAGAAAACACAAGCTCTCTAACTCCTGACCCCCGGGATAAACATTAACTGTTATGCTATCCCCTAAGTGTGGTGCAATGTGCTGTAGGCAGCTAGTACAGATACATTCAATGCTTTGATTTCTTGGATGTTGACAGTGTCATCTATAATAGCAAAGAGTAAGAAAAAAAAATTAAACATGCACTGTCAGAAAGCAATGAAATAAAGTATCATCCTCTCACTATCCATGAGATGAAGAGGTAGATCTTAACAATGATATTCTGAATAATATTTAATATAGAAAATACTTATCAATATTATTCCGTAAAATCTACTTTATAAATCACTAGGCACAATATAATTCTGACTATTTCTAAAATTTGTGTACCTATTTAAAAAAAACAGAAGACTAAAATATTAATGATTTTCTATAGGAGACATAGCTTTAAAGATTTTTTTCCCCTTGTTGGCCTATATTTTTCAGATTTTTTACAATAAATTCATGTTATTTTTGTCAAGGTAAAAAAATTGTCAAGATAAAAAAACTGGGGTCATTGGGCAAGTTAAATAATTAGAAGAATGGAGATATTTCTGATGCTTGGGTCCCTTCCAGAAGTGAGCTTGCCCCATAGTTTAACTCCCGTAGTGAGCTGGAAATTTACTGTACCCTGAAATGAACCATTCCAACTTAAAGTGGCTTTGACTGAAAGTTACTCTTTTATAAGGACTGCAATTCTTTTTCTTCTTTTTTTGGTAACAGATACCAAACTCGGGACCTTGCACTTGTGAGGCAGGTGGTGGAACCACTGAGCCAAATCCCCAGCCCTATTTTTCTATCACTTCCATTTAATGTGTGTCTGAGAGGAAACACATCTATGTGAGATAATTTGTAATTACATGACATCTTCATCTCTCTCATTATACAAATACACTCTTCTCTGTGAAGCATGTGAAATTATTAACTTCGGGTAGCTCCTTTATATTACCAGTGAATCCAGAGTTTGTCATCAAACATAAACCATACATTTTTTCCCCTTATTTGGACACAAAAACTAACCTAACATCAACCCAATGATAAAAAGCATTGTTATTTGTGCAGAAAAGTAAGAACCATTTTGGACACAGATAAAGAATTCTAGTTTAGTCATCTGACAGGATTAACACTCAGTAAGAAGGGTCCCAGGAATCTAAATTTTGACAACATTCTTTTCAGATGATTCTAGACTTTTTGAAATAGGGTTTTTGAGACTCTGTAAAAGCTACACATCTGTGCCTCAGAAAAACTCTTAACACTCCCAAAACTTTCACACCTTTTGAAGGGTTTTATGGACCTTTCTAAGTCTATCATTTGCCCTCTAGGCTAATGGCTCATGGTTCTACTTGGGAGCTCCTCCTTACTACCAAAATTTACCTACTGATTATACAGATCGATCCATATCTGACACCCTGGCACCCAGAAAAACGATCAGCCTCTGTTATGGCTGTGTCTAGATGGCCCGGAAAGCCTCACGCGGTCATAGGTGAGGCTTTTCCAGAAGGGACATCCCTAGAGAGTGTGGTGTTAGAAGTGAAGTGATGCCTGGTGCAGTGCTAGACTCAAGGGCACTAAAATTACACGCTATGCCCTAAGTAGTCTGGGTAAGATAAAAGGAGCAAAAAGATGCTGTTCAGGTCCCTTGCTGCTTTTGCTGTCTGACGCCTGCAGTGAACTGTTTCTCCTCTGCAATGCTTCTCTGCCGTGTGCCAGGAACAGCCATCCACGGACTGAAACGTGAATGACTGTGAGCTAAATGAACCTCTCCTCTAACTTTCGGTATTGAGGATTTTGTCTTAGCAACAACAAAAGTAACTAAGATGCTGTAAGAGTAAGAAGAGAAGACCAGAGAGCAGGACTCCCACCTTTCCAGCCTTGACCCAGCCACGAGGACAGATCAAAATTACTGTCCATGTGAGGCTCGTCTGTGGCACACTCATGGAGTCCCTAGCTGGCCATTATTCAGGTTTCATTAGGGAATACAGATAAAGCTTCTTCAATAGTCCCTGGCATATAGGAAACATTTAATAAGTGCCGCAGAGTCTTTCAGATTGGGAAACTAACACCAGAGGAACTAAATATCTTACCTTAAGTCTTATGTCAAGCAAATGACAGAGACTGGAAGCCAGTGAGTGTGGTCCAGAGTACATACGTTTGTCCATATGATTATGACTCCCTAGCACAGTTTTCAAACATGTAAAAACCAATAAAAAGATACATTCATCAAGCACCAAATAAAGGGCGCAGTCTACTGCAATAAGAAACAACTGGCTCTAGAATGAAGCGTTGTTGAAAGACAAGCTTGGCTCAAAATGTGGGGATCTGCTTTCCAGAAATCACCATGGCAAATTCACAAAAACTTGAGAATTCCCACAAAACATCCAAATATGGAGAAAAAGAAATTGAGTTGGTTTTATTACCCTAGTCCTCTTCTGACTGAGGAAAAGAGGAAAGGGCTCAGGGGGAGAAATGGGTAAAACAGAAAATAATCCACAGTCCAAGAGCTCTCCCCAAGGTCAGTAGCACTGAGCCTTAATTAGTGAGTAAGCTCTTGCACAAGATAAGTAGTAAGTCTCAGAGAAACAGGCAGGAATTCAGGTCATGTCACACCCCCTGCACACCACTCCAGCTCCCTCCTATTCTCTTAAGGTACAAATAAATAGAGTAGGCACATACGGGATCTCAGGCTATGAAACAATAAAAGAACAGGTTCAGATATCATGGGGGGAAACTTGAGAATGTACTCACACATTATCAGAGCGAAGAGAGAACGTACACAGAATCACTGGGGCATGAACCACACAACCGGAAACAGCACTCCCAACTGCAGTCAGTACAAGAGACCTGAAATAATCAGCAGAGAAAGAGGAAAAGTTGACTGCAACTCAGTTTTGGACGTTTCGGTCCCGGGTTGGTTGCCCCCTTGCTTTGGGGCCTGTGGGGAGACAGTACGTTATGGCACAAGTCCATGTGGTGGCAGATGGGAAGGAGAGGGCCAAAGACCATCACACCCTTGAGGACAGCACCCCCTACGCCCTCCCCCCAGGCTCCACCTCTTAAAGGTTTCAACACCTCCCAATTACACCCCAGGCCAATGACCAAGCATTTAACACAGGGAACACTCAAGATATAAACTATAGCAACAGGAAACACGGACAGCCAACTGACAAAATGAAGCAAAAGGACAGAAACAAACCATACAAAGGAGAAAAAGGCCCAAGCCAGACAAAAATATAGCTCAACACAGAGGATTCCTCCAAAGTGCTTTGCATGGTTTATTGTACTGAGAACATGAAAACTATCAGTAAAACAGAGCTTAAAGGTGTGGTTAGAAAACAAGCAAGATGAAAAAGAATATGACAGCTAACATGAAAGGAAGTTAACAGATCAAAAAAATCCCCAAATGAAGTCAATACCAAAACAAGGCTAATCCAGGTCTCTGAAGCAAAGACCACTGTCACAGCTGTGTCCAGATGTCCCGCCAAAGCCTCATGTGGTCATAGAGGGGCTTTTCAGAGGCGGCTGGGTCTAGTGCTTGGGATGCAGGGATTAAGAGTATGTGATTACTAAATAAGTACACTGCTTGGCTGGGCACTGGCCTAATCCTGGTAGCCTGGATATAACACAAAGCAGGCAGAAAGAAACCGCTAAAGCCCCTTGCTCGCTTTGCCACCTTCTGCCTGTTTCTCTCTGAGATGCCTGTGTGCCGTGCCGCTCTGTTTTGGAGCCAGCTGATTATGTACTGAAACCTCTACAAACTGTGAGCCAAATAAACCTTTCCTCCTTTAGCTTTGGGCATCAAGTATTTTGTTTCAGTGATGAGAAAAGTAACTAAAACAACCCATGGAAACAGGTTGAATTCAGAGAGAGAAAGAGAGAGAATTTTTTCTTTAAATAAAGAAGATGAAAATGATAATTGTAGGATACCAACTGCATTTGAGTAAAATTTTATACAGAAATTTTAAGCCTGGCACACACAGCAGTTAAATTACTGAGCTTCAGGTCACATAGAGTAAATAAATGAATGAATGAATTAATAAATAAATATAAAATATTCTATTCAGAAAATATTTTACTCAGGAAATTAGGGTAGACTCTTATTCTAATTAACATAAAATTGCAGTGCGAGTAGTTGATGAAATAATGTTTACAAAGTTCTGAGGACAAAGAAAGCATAACAAGTGCCATGTTCCAGTATAAGTGCAAGGAGTAGAATTCTCAGAGAGAGAAACTAAGAAATACGGCTCAGTCCCTTAAAAAGTATTAAATCCAGCCTTCAAGAGTCTAAATGAAATACAAAGTAGACAAATAGTGTGGAAAAAGCTCATGGTAGCACTGAATAAATTTAAACGGAGAACAGCATGTGAATGTTATAAGCCTGCAGTGTAAAAACAATAATATTACTAGTAGTAAGTACTCCACTGGGTATAACTGCCACATTTGCTTTGTTCAATCACCTGTTGATGGACATATAGGCTACTTCCAAGATTGAGCTATTGTGAGTTTTGCTGCTATAAACAGGGGTGTGCATGTGTCACGGCAATATGATGTCTTTAACTCTTTCAGGAAGACACCTCGGAGGGGAATAGCTTGGCCAAATGGGATTTCAAGTGTTAGAGTTGTTGCTTTTGTTTTTTAAAGAATCTCCCTAATGATTGCCACAGTGGTTATATTAGTTTACATTCCTATCACCAATGTAAAAGAGTTCCTTTTCCTTTCCTCCTCACCAGCATTTTTTATTGTTTGATTTCTTGCTATTCTTTCTGGAGTAAAAGGAAATAGCAGTGTCACTTTAACTTGGCATTTCTCTAATAGCCAGAGATGTTGAACATTTTTTCATATATTCGTTGGCTACTTATACTTCTTCAAAGAAGTCTCTTCATTCAGTTTGTTTTTTTATTTTTTGAGGGCTGTATAACTTCTTGAGTTCTTTAAATATTCTAGGTATTAGTCCTCTGCCCAAGATATAAGTAGCAAAAACTTTCTTCTTTTCCTAGTGTCTCTTAACTCTGTCAATTGCTTTGTTTGCTGTACAAGAACTTCCTAACTTGATATAATCCCATTTGTTGATTCTTGGTAGTATTTCTTGTTCTGTTCAGAAAGACCTTGCCTATGCCTATGTCTTCCAGAGTTTTACCTATGTTATCTGCCAGCAAATTGTTTCTGTTTTAACATTTAGATTTGATCCATTTTGATTTTAGTTTACACATGGTGAAAGACTGTTTTCTCTGACTCTGTGAGCAATGATGGGGATATCTTGATTGGGAATGCATTAAATCTGGGTATCCATTTTGGAAGCATGACGATTTTGAAAATGTTGGTTCTTCCTATCCAGGAACAGGAGATGTCTTTCAATTTCCTAATGTCCTCCTTGACACGCTTTTTCAGAATACCATAGTTTTCACGGTAGAGGTTTTTCATATCCTTGATAGGGTAATTCCTAAGTATTTATTTTTTGTATGCTATTGTTTTGTTTTTTTCTTTTTCTTATTGAATATTGCAAACATACATGATACCAAGAAATTAAGATACTAAATAAAGATTTCAAGTATACATATATATGTCAGCAAAAAAAGGATATGAAATAAAAATTAATGTAACACAGACTAATAATCAAAATACATTATTAGTTTGATATGATCTTCAAACATTATGTTCTTTTGCATTTTCTTATATTTTTGAAATAATGGAATTACAAATAAAACAAAGTTACATATTAATAGTTGAGAAACTGTCCTCAAAATTTTATGATTTGTAAACTCCTTGGTTTTATTAATTGGTAAATATAATATGCTTGTTGATTGTACCACTTACATTTTCTAACAAAGCTTCCCACAGGAAGAAAAAATACTTATATTTGAAATCCAGAAACAACTAAAAAAATTCACATTTTTAAGATCAGATC